TGCTGAGTTATTCTTTGCTGTACAGTTTGCACAAATAAAGACCTGGACAYGCTGCAGGTATGAACAAACCATTGCCTACAGTGTGAACACTGTGGAATTTTTAAGCASTTAATGCCACTCTAGAGTCTTAAATGGATACCTGAAAGTCCATCCTGCATTATTTTAGTTCTTTGAAAATCATATATTCATTCGCCCAGCAGGCAGATGAAACTACCATAAACTGAGTTAGATGTTTGAAAACGCAGCTCCTTCTCTGAGCTCTCTCAGCTCTTCAGGGTTGGAGCAGAACTGTCTGAGTAGGTAAGGCGACCTCACAGATGAGGGAATAAAAAGAAAATACACTTTAAAGCACACTTAACTTCAAAAGTTATGAATCCTAAACCAATATTGCTGTTATAGTTACTATGATCACTACTGATTTTAAACAACTGAGTTGTACATTTCATTTGCAGCCCTTCTCTCCTACCACACAGTATTTCTCATCATTAAGCATAAGGTATTTATTCTGGTTTCTAAGCTTTTTGAAAAGCAAAGGACATTTATTTCCTGTGGAGAAAGGCAATGCTTCTTAATCAAAAGTGCAGGAGCATTTGAAATCTTCCCAAATTCTAGCTAAACAAGTCAGCACAGCCACCAAAAAAAAAAAAATCTGTTTTTCCTTTATCACAGGTCAATTATCACATAGAGCATGGAGAGCTGCCAAAAACACTGCTGTGTTCAGACAGTAAAACTTGCATTTTATTTGCCTGCAGCTGCATTGCACAAAGAAGGGAGTGTTAACTCCCTTTCCCAAGACAAAACATGACCTATCCCAAAGCAAGAGGTGACTGATTTCCTGTTTTGTTTTTTTTTTCTTTTTTCTTTCAGGGTACTACTACTTATCTTTTGTCCCAAATGCTATTTCCCTAAAATGCCTTGATTGCAAAATATTGATTTCTTTTTCCTCACTTCTTTTCATGCTTGTCTACCAGCACAGACAGACATATGTGGCAAAAAGAGTAATGAAACACCATTTAATGATTTTCAGGTTCAGATTTCGAATTTGCCCAGCATGGGCCCTATTTTATTTTCAAAGACAGTCTCCCATTGCCTTGAGTTCTAACAATTTAAAATGAGATTTTATGCAAGATTTATTTTCAATGAAATGAGAAAAATAATCCTGAAGCTCTATAAAACTAAGTTTTTGCATTAAATTTTCAGTCACAAAGCCAAAGTCTCAACATTTCTAGCATTTGTCCTACTTCTATTGTTTAAAATAAAGATACTACCAAGCTGCATCACTGTATGATCTTGGAACTGGAAAGATTCCAGGATTTAAAATGTGAAGCATGTGGTTTCCTCAGCAACCTGGAAAATGTATTTTAGTGCCTACTGGGTATCAGTAATGATGCCAATTGTCATGTTAATTTTTCAGATCTTTGTTGTTCATAATCTTCTTCTGTGTCTTTTAACCRATAATCAACCAGTAAAATTTCATTACTTTCTTCACCTTGGTTTTTGGATGACTAAAAAGTATTCTTTATGGTTCACCAGCTTTAATAAAAGGAACAAAAATAATTGTTCACAAAGCAAACCATGCAGTGGTCGGTCAATGAATCCAAATGGAGATCCATTAATAAAGGGTGAATTTAAAATAATTTTTTTTGTTTAAAAAGCAGCATTTTAGCATAGCACAGTTTTGGGCACCACACCAATCAATTCCCTGTCAGTGTCACCAGAACAGGTGACTACACATCTAAAATGGTCACAGAAAATAAAAAAATTATGAGGTCCAAATACCCACTTGACTGTGGCTACATTCTAGTGCAGGCAATATCTCTAAATTTCAAAAGAAGTAAACAACTTTTTCCTAAATGGGCAACTTAGGCAAGTTAATGRTTTTTTAATAAATTCTGCTCTTTCAGATCTTCATCACTTCAGCTTTGGCTACCAATTTTTTTTTGTACCTACCATTATAAAATATTAGTGTGCAAAATGTAGTCGATTAGGATCCCACTTCAAAACTATCCAACTTCAAAAACATCTGAGTACCTGCTGAGGGATGAGTACTTGGCGRAAACTGAATAGTATCTATTAATCCAATTCTTAATTTGGTTAAATTCCTTCAACACACCAACATCTGTACCCTGTTCCTTCTCATAACTACTGCTTCCAAATACATATTATTTCCACAGAAAAATATTAATTAACACTCTACAAGAAATGCCCTTTTTTAGCACATGCCTTTCATAGTCTGCCACTATTAAATTAAAATGCCTGAATACCATTTAAATCATGTCAATAAACTTAAAACAAACATTTACTATCTGATAATTAAGCCAGCAAAGGAAAAACCCAAACAAACCACTATCTGTAATATCTACGAACTCTGAAGATACTTTAAACTGTGCCTTCAGATCTTCCACTAGAATATRAGACTAAAACCTGATCTGTCTGAACATACCAATTTGTAATCAGAGGGAGGAATAGTAAGACAATTRTGTATAAAGGTAAAAAGTTTAAGGAGTGCATATTTTTTTAATGGCAATAAAATTCTGAACTGTCCTGGAAGGTCWGAAAGACAGCACTTGGATAAAGCAGAAAACAAGATGTGCACTTCAATAAGATGCACTCTAGAAATGCAAAACAAAAGAAGTAGCAAATCATGGTTTACAAGGATTAAGAGAAAAATATTTATATGAGAGAAGCCACAGRCTTCTGAGTTTCCAGGCAGAGAGCAGAAATAGCTATCTGCAGTCATAGTAGGACAGCCATATAYAGCAGATAAAAATGAGACTTCAAAATTTTTCCCTAGCACCTGAAACAGATTTCATTGAAGTTCGCATAATTTCCACAATAATACATACTAAAAAAATCACACCAGTCCTTCCTTAGGTATTTTCTCAAGCTCTACTTTTCTGTGGAAAAACGTTAAAAAGAACAAGAAAATGCAAACCCTATGAATAGAAAATCCCATACCCAGTCTTTGATTCCAGGTCTGGACAAGTAATTAAAAATCTGAGTTAAAGGCATCGCTCCTTGAACTTTAAAGGCCCGAATTTTTAGTTATTTACCCCAGGCTATACAAAAAATAAAAAGTAATTYCACATTGCACCAGAAACATCAGATAAAAAAATTGACACCTGGATTCTCAAGAAGAATATTCTAGGTTAGCTAGTTACAGAAATGCAAAAAATCATCTTTGAATTTACAACCCCCACAATTTAACTGTTCATGGTAAAGGAAATGCCTCCAGCAACTTCAAGGCAAAAGCAAATTCAAATCTCTGCCTGTGATTCTACAGTTAGCAGCAGGAAATATACATTTTTTCTACAGATAGGTTACATAATTTTTATACAGAACAGGCTGCCCAGAGAAGCTGTGGATGCTCCATCCCTGGAAGTGTTCAGAGCCAGGCTGGATGGGACTTTRTCTAGAACAGGACCTCAAAGTCTCTACATCTAAAAGCCTGGCTCCTTACTTTCTAATCTGAACAGACCAGGTTTTTTTACTTGAAAGCAGCTGTGAACAAACCTGAAAAAACAGGCCAGATGCATGAAGACAAAAGATGGAACTGTCTCAATATGGATTACAGTGGTCTCAAAGAAACAAGAATTTTTWAAAAAAARAACCTTTAGTACTGCCTACAAATGATCTAATGAAAAATCATTCTCAAGTGTCAAGTAGGGCAAAGTAAGAAAACGTGTGAAAAAGCAGCGTAAGAAGAGTAAATGGCAATAAAGCAATCTCAGTGACATTTAACATTTACGCAAATGTCAGATTCCCCMCCTCCTGGTTAAACATTCAGTTGGGATCTCAATCTATGTCTGTCTTTTTTGTAAAACAAAAAGAAACACAGCACAAAAATCAGAAATCTGTGTTTCTAAAAAAGATGAACAGTCAAAAMAATGAGACCATGAACACTGGGAATTAGAGCTCTGCTCTAGAATTATTAATGACTGATTTATGGCTAAAGTCCATGCCTGGACTTTCATTCCCACATGATGTTTGCTGTAGCAGAGCTGAAATGACCTAAACCTTCATGATTTATGGTTATAGACAAGAAGAAAAGGCATTGGCAAAGCGTCAGAAATTAATCAATATTCTGAACTGTGAATATCACAAGAATTCCACAGAATTGTTTAAACGTCTACAGGAAAAAAAAAACCAAAACAACATATTCACAGCCTAATACCTTGAACAGGAGCCCCAAGAACAGCTTCTCTAAAAATATAGAGAAAAAAAATATTCTTCAAATTCAAATTTATTGGAATACATGCATTCCTCTCTTTTCACTGTGTACAGCAGAAAATTGGGATAGACTTTGTGTGAAATTTGCCAACCATCATCCATAATGACATCCCCTGCCCCAGGACTCAGTGCCCTTTGGGAAAACTCTCTCATTTGCCTGACAGGGTCTCCTATTTTTTTTTACCCAGACCTCCCCCATTTCACTGATAAGGTCTGTATTTTCTTATCCAGAAAGATATGAAGGATAGTCTCATTATCCTATTCTAGCAGTCCCCAAGAATATTAAATATGATAAAACAGCTTTTCTAACAAAAGTTATACAAAGCTCTTAACAAATTTTCCAAGTAGGTTACAGAGAAAYCATCCTAATTGTTTCCACTGATACAACCCCTCATTCATTCAGTCACATACTGAAGTCACAGTCAGCCAGGGCCCTGTGCTTCAAATCAGAGTGACTATGGTAAGGTGCTGGGTGTGAAAGGACTGATTTTCCAGATGATGTGCCCTCATAAAAATGCCTCAGTCACTGGTAATATTAAAATGGAAGCAGAAGCAGCACATGCAATCACTGAAAGGCAAACAACCTCTGCCCTGAATTCTACTTTTTTTTGTCAAAAATTCAAAATGAAATTCATTCTTCATCATATTCCCATTATATCAATGGACTCAGATGTTCACCTCCAGAATGTACATTCTAGTTCAGACTCTGATAGCTTTGGAAATCGAGATGCGTCAGAAATGTTTATCTGATTTAGACATTCCAATCTCACCTTCTTCTGAAGAACATTAACTTTGCGTTCCTTCACCTCTAGCATGTCCTTGAGGTCGTGGATCTCGCCTGCCTGAGTCCCCTTCTCCTCTGCCATCTCCTGAATCTGCTTTGTCTTCTTATTCAGCATGGTCTCCTTCTCTTCCAGACGTAACCGTAACGCATCCACCTGCATTCAGAAATGGAGAGCAAGGTTTGTTTAGCAATGATGGAGAGAAATTTTAGAAAAGTTAAACTATGCTTCCACAGGGAAGTACTACAAATAGATTCAGAAATTTAACACCCCTTTCTTTAACAATTCAACATACCTAAGACTGGGATAAAATAGTTATCACAGGTGACAGGAGACTAAGCAGTAAAAAAWAAACAACTGTGTTATTCCCAAACTATGTAAGACTAATGCTCATTCTTGGAAAATCTCAAATAACTCAGGCTTATATCATACCATACTGAATTTTTTCTCCTCAAAGTAGAAGCCAACACAATGTGTTGTTGAGAAGTTCTCTCACATGTAAGGAAACATAAYGTTTTATTTAAAACATTAGTAATATTCTGAAAATACACATTGACTTCTTGTACCAAAAAGGTATATTTTAGGTTTTAAACAGAATAGCAGCTGAGCTTGAAAGTAATGAAAGCAGAGCTCTTTGCAGCCACTGCAGATCAAAACTGGAAAGAGGTTACCTTAGGATGGCTAAGAATATTTTGGMTTAAAAAGCAAACATRTTTTCTGCAGCATGCAGTTTTGCATTAAAGATAAAATTGAACAAATGASAGAGTACAGGAYATTGTGGGAGCAATTTGGACACATAAACACAATTAGAGCTCCCAATGCCACAGCAAATTTGTAACACATTCTGGGATCTCTATGGAGTCCTCAAGCTTAAAACTGCATGTTGAGCATCTTCTGCTTTTCCTTTTCCTTCTGCATTTTTCTTCCATACATGAAACAGAGCTCACAAGATAAAGGAAATGGGAGAAGGAATCAGAACTACCTGAATATAAATTTGATGAGAAGAATAAGGTCACCACWGAGCACAGACTAATCTCAAAGCCTATTGTGGAATACGAAATCCAACACCACCGACCTGCTCGAGATACCAAAAGAAACCCACTGACCCCTATCCACTCAGCATTCAGACAGAGCTCAAATCTKCCATCTTGGCTGCTAATCTTATTTGACAGTATCAGATTTGGTTCCTGTTAGCTGAATCCATTACAGGACATCAGTCACACAGAGTAAACAGAGTGATCAATGAATTTCTTGGTCTTTCTGTACAGAACAGGCTAGCAGAGACATGAAGTGAAAAGATGACAACCTCTGTACAAGCCCAGCTAGGGTAAGAATTTAGGAATTTACTATGCTTACGGTATTTTGAGCAACATTTAGTTTAAATGTGTTATTCTAATTCCATTTTCTTTTGAGTTGCTAATGGAAAAGTTGCCKCTGAGGCTCTGCATTTCCAGTGTGTTACATCCACAAAATCCTTTGCTGTTTTGTCTGACTCCTTTCACACGGAGCAATGAGCACTTGCCAGCAGGGAAAAGAGCTGCCCTGCTCTCCCCATCAGCGCTGCAATCCCGTTGCCACCTCCATGTCTGGAGCCTTCTCACTTACACATAMGTTATTAAAAATCACATTCCTGACCTCTCACCCAGCAAGTGGGGCATGGAGTATAATCTGCAGGGATATTACAGTACCAGGTCTTACCCAAATATGATTTATAGGACAGCTAGTGTTTGCAATGAAAGGTTTAGCAGGTGGATCAGGCTTTGTCTGCTTTTTAAAAACATGCAGTTTCATGGATTGATTAGGTATGTTTCTCTCTGGATATCTTTGATATTAAAGCAAAGAGTCACATTTATTAATTTTTGAAGGGAAACTGAAAATCTCCCTCACAAGAAAATCCACATATTCTCAACTGCTGTGTTGCAAAATATTTGAGACAGTCCAGATGCCTACAGTACAGTATTAAGTGAAAAGAGGACATCTCCAAATAGAAATTAATCCACAGAATGCTTTCCATTTTYTGATTGATTATTCTCTTTGAACTCTATGTTAGCTTACAGTTTGGGATAAATCACATTCCTGGTTTTATTTGTGTGAGGTCCTTGCCTGGGAAACCACAGAAAACACTTTCAAARGTCTTTTCAAAGGCTGGCAGGACACACAATCATCACCTTAGCACTATTTCTGGCAGAACACTGCACTTGTTTATTCATGTCAGCTCAGTTTATGTATGGCATCCTCCCACAGTGACAAGAATTGAGGTCTGTGGGAGTCAGGTGATGCCAACTTCAACAGAGTCAGCTTAGGACTTTCTCAGTACATGGAAACGAGCAGGCAAACAGCTACTGAGGTGCTGACGCCCCTTCTTCTGAATTTTGCATTTTGGATGGCATTGTCTTAACCCTGGGTTCATCTAAGTGCTTTCAGAATAATGGACTGCCATGGCTTTAATTATAAATGGTAAGTAAAATCTTATGGGCTAGCTCACTTGCCCTGCCTGCACCACCTAGGTGCCCACAAAGCTTTAGCCAAAGAAGCACCCTGGTTGCCACCTTCAACACACCAAGAAAGGACAAGACCATCCTGGACACAGGTGCCACCGGAACCTCTCTTCAGGTGGATACCGTCCACAAGACTTATATTTCTTCACCGTAAGAATAAACCATGAAAAACTGTGTTGGGAACCACTGATTTGTCTTCACAGTTTTCTAGCAGCACTAACATTCTACAGTCTCTGYTCTAAATATGCCTAGACATACGTTGAACATGCAAAAGTCCAAATTTCTAAAAAGAAAGCAGTATGTTAGTAGCTCAAATAGCTACCAAAATAAACACAACAAATGAAACAATATTTAATACAAGTTGAATTTTAAAGCTTTTCTAGAATCTTTGGATTTTGTAATTACAATCTAAGCTTTCAGAATATTCCCTATAGTCCTATTTCAGAAATTACAAGGAAATCATTTAAATTTTTGGAAGTCCACAGTGAGTTTCATACTGACTCAGGAGCTTGACTAAATTGGACTTAGGTTGAAAATATGGTTTTTTTTCCTGAATTTTAATGTAATCTCCACTGTACAGTAGCACGCAAGGTATTCTAACCCTGGTGATTCCCACTTGGGTTTAAGAAGATGTCAGTGATGCCTASAAAAAACAGCGTGCTACTCTTTTCCTGAGTGATTCTTCTCATCTGCCTTTCACCTGTCCAAACCAYGGCTGAACCATCAATTTAAATCCATGAAATCAGAAGGTACAACCCCCACAATGCTATAYCCAATCCCAATTTCTCTGTACCAGCAAAATTCAAAATTTTAATTCTCTGTAGGTATAACTACAGTAGAGGCAGCAAAAGGAACAGATGGAATACTGATCCTGCAACGTGTGTTCAGAACCTGCAAAGGCTTATAACAGGAGCCAGCCACTTTTTAAAGCAGATGTTGAAGTAATTCTATGTCAGCACTCAGAATTCAAAGATCTTCAGWAATGCACAGAGACATGAAATTAAAATTGGTATGTGAGTTGAGACTGCTTTTCAYGCACTGCAGCTATTGTTAGGTGAAGTCTCCAAGTTTAAAAAGGATCCTTTAAAAAGGATCTCCTTTAAAAAGGATCAGTTTTGTGATATTCCACTACTAATACGCAAGCATATCTTAAAAATAATAAAAAAAAATAGTTAAGCCTTTTTACTGGTAGCATGGCCTGTAATTAAAACTTTGAAGCTTTGTTTATCGACCGCTTTTGAATGCAGTGGTAGCTCACAAGACTTAMTTTAATTCTCTATTTTTGACATTRATYRTYCTTATTAACTACAGTAGAGTTGACTCTTCACCTCCTTATACAAACCGCAGCAATGCCCAGTATGGTCTGTAGGTAAGAGTGAATTCTTTATGAACACTGAACTCCCAGTTATGCAGATAACTCAGATGACACAGCTCTGCCATGGAGCAGAGGTGCACACGCCTGGCTTTGTGCAGAGCTTGTTTGGCTCTTGCCAGGGTTACAAACTCAATGCAGGATGGTTGTACTGCTCCCAGGGCCTGCTCAGGTCAGGAATTAGTTCAACTGTCCTTCCCCACTCTCTAGCACAAGACACTGAATACCCAAACACAGTGAACTCAGTTCTGTGAGCTCACCTCAGTGTTTGTGGGTGTCAGCACTGGCTCTTCAGGTAGTTGGTGCTAAGTCTTGTTAGAAACACCCAGCTCCCATTTGTACATTCCTCACTGAATGTAATTCACTCTGTGTCTGATCTGGCAGAGTCTGCTGCAGTTTCAAAATGCCAGTATAAGCCCCAATAGMGAAAGATCCTTAGAAAAACGTATGTTCTAATGAGCCATTCAGTGCAAATAAAGACTTCCACAAGAATAGATYCATTTTTCTACTGAATATTAATCTAAATTTACCATAGGAACAGACCAATCACAGAACCATGCCAGCTTGGGCAGAATACAAAAATAAAGGAGAACATTCTTGCTGGTTAATTCAACTTCCCACTGAAGCCACATAACTTCTGGCACTGACCTRATCTGAAGGGCTCACTGGGAAAAAACTTTGTATGGATAAAGCTTTAATTCCAACATAAACACTGACTTTTTTTTTGTTTTGTTTACAAAGTGACTGTACAATTTCAGAGCTATTTTTAAAGGTTTCTTCACCAATTGGGAAGTTAACCACAACCTCCTCTCCACCCAGCAGCCCTCAAGACAAACACCCCACAAAAAGCCCACTGCTGCTTGTAGTTCTAGTGTGGCAGGTGGCAAATACATTTCTGAGATATTATATCAACACTTTCCCCCACCTATGAGCAGGTTTCTTTAACAGAAGATTAAATAAGAGGTAGAGGTTTATGGAGTATTCTCTTTTCTTTTACATTTTTATTTAAATATGATTTTAAAATAYCAATCCCCTATGAAGATATCTGACAATGTATGTCAGAAACTGCACCTCTCTTCCTCCTCACAACTCTCTCCAGGTGCTTTGAGAGAAGGCAGCTGTGCTTTAACACTGACCAGTGCTGTCAAGAAGTGAGGCCAAGAAGGATCTCACATTCCTACCCCATTCCCAAGGAAAATCCTTGTATGGAAAGATACCCTTGCCTTTAAAAAAATSCAAATCATCACAGGATGCAATGACAAACATCTCAACACTGCATATTCTCAACATGTTTCAATCTCACACTTGAGAGGATCACCCCTGAAGCCAATAAAAAGAWAACTGTGTGATGATTTAATTGTTGAGATTTCTGTTAAGAACKCCAACAAGAGGGAAAAAAGTAAGACTATCTTTCAAAAAGTACAAGTATCTTCTTGGAAGGAAGAATCCAATTTGGTTTTGTGGTGCTGTGAGAACCTCATTTGGAAGCTGCCAATGTAGAACAAAWCTTCTCAATGATTATTTAGTAATATTACAATTTAGAGAGTAGAACAATTTTCTATATTAAAAAAGTACTTTGGTCTTCAGCTAAAATAAAATCAAGATGTTCTGAATAACTATCAAGAGTATCTATCAATGGTATATAACCAAGTTTTTTTGGTTTTAAATATTCTGTTTCAATTCTGTACATTTTAAGTGAATAAATATGTTTATCTACCATAACAGCTGAAATTATGACCCTCTAATGAAGTCTTTTAGTTTGTTAATAAAGAGCATTTGTTCAAGAACTTCGTCTTTCATGGGTAGAAAAGTACTATTTATTATTCAAAACTGAGCACAGAAATTTGTTTCTAGCTTTATAGGTTTGTCACAGTASGGCAGAAATATTTAACAGTTCTATATTCTTTTCAATCACTGCAATGGAACAAAACCTGCAATTTACCTTTGAAAATGTCTATTTACCTAACACCTATGGTAATCTGAAATCTAATTTGTTTTTAAATAGACATATACTAATCTAGGATACATTCCTGAACTAGCAAAATGGAATGAGCAGTTTTAACAAGAGGTTTATGATTGTAAACTGGTACACCTTCACAGTTTGTACCCACTAATGCAATCTCAACTTCTGCATAGATCTGAGAATAATCAGAAAAGCTATCTCAGAACATCAGAACATTCATCAACTTTGGCTAAAGGAAAGCTAAATGAGAGTAAAAAGTTCCGATCAATTCTGTTACACCCCTGTAATATGGACCATTCTACCAGTGTCACCCCAAATTTCCTGCATGCTCTTTTCACAGCTCCTGTGGCTTTGATTCTTTTAGTCGTAACAGCTCACAGTTTTTGATGCATCACTGCCATCTTTTGGACTTCCACTAACACTACAATTTTCCAAGCCAGGGATTGAAATGCTGTCTGCACACAACATTTCATGCTTGCTTTTCAAGAATGTCCAGAAGCAACACATTTATCTATATTTATTATCTGTTTGATGTTCAGCTATACACCTGGGTCTTACAATACGGGAATTTACTAAGCATTTGATGTTAAACACAGCACTGAAAATATTTATCCTTTATCTTGGAAAATGCATCATAAAACATGAAATCCCATATTTTAAGTGTAAGCACAGTCTTCCATGCAAGAGTTCCTGTACATGCTGACAGKAGCAGTGAAGCCTCTGCAGGGTATATGCTATTGGAAAGCTCTTCTTTTTCTTCTCACTGCAAATAAATCCCCCCAGGTCAGACATTGCAACTTCTAATTCAGCCAAGCACTTACACAAATTTGTCTTTAGATCAAATCCCTGGCCTAGAGAATCAAACACATAATCGAAGCCACAAAGTGCAAGGAACAAGCAGTAGTGAATCKCTGTAGGATTGTACAACCGAAAAAGAGCAGAAATGGGTTTTCTCTCTTTGTGCCATTCTCTAAGAACAGAATTGCCCACTTCACCTCTGTCTGCAGGATGGCAGCTCTCTGCTCTTTAGCTGTAAGTGACTCTTTCAGGACTTCAATGTGTTGCTTGCTGTCAGAGAACTGATTTGTGAGGGTTTCCAGCTTGGTCTGCAAGGCCAGCAGCTCGGTGTCTTTGCGTGACAGCTCCTGTTTCACCTGCCCGATCTGAAACACAAAGARAGGACGGCCAAAGGGAGAAATAATTGCTACCTTCCTTTAAAAAAATACTGTAAATACACATAACTATCAACAAACTATATGATACTCTCAAATTATCCCACAGAATTATGAAGCCTTCAGTTATCTGGAGTGAAAGGCCTGCAAAAATTTGTGTCGTGAACAAAGGATACAAGGGAAAAGAGAGGGGAGCAATGCCATGAATTTTTCAAGAGAGGTTCTTTTTAAGAGTGGCATTTCATTATCTTTTATTATTTATCTTCCAAAGGACTGAGCAAACCCAGATACTTAGCAGGGATGAGGTTTCAATGAAGATGAAGCAGAACTGGAATGACAAAGCACCCCMACTCTGTAATATCAGAAAAGATGAGGTACCTACAGGTCTCTCAGCAGCACAATGTTTGCTTTGAAATGTCACATCAGCTGCCCTCCAGCTCTTCACCTGTCAATCCTGCCTCATGCTTATAGAGGATATAAAAAACACCTTTGCTTTTCCCATTATTCACAAAACCAGCATTTTATTCTATGAAACACCTTTTAGTTTAAGGAAACTTCTAAAAGCAGATGCATATATTCACCAAAACATGCAAACTGTTTGTGGAATTGCATTTTGGTGAGAGCAATTTCCTAAATTTAATTTAGGAAAATAATTAAATCAGTACAAAAATGCAAATTTATTTTAACAGATGTAGGTTTGGATTATTATTTCAAAATACAAACAGTAAAAAATGCTATAATAAAGCATCAAAATGAGCTGAAATCTCAATCTAAGTGCAATCATCACCCAGGATATCTTCTATTAAGTCTAAAAAAAATCTAAAAAAAAAAATTTAAAAGAGAAAAATTTAAGAGGAGAGTGAAGTCTAAATGCAGGGTCACATCCAAGTTTGTGATCAACTTCCTGGTTTGCTTCCTATCTCACAGAATAGCAATATTTTACTGCTACATATTATGTAGCAGAGGGGGACACATTAAASAGTTTTCCCTTTTTTAATCTGAACAATTTTGTTTGTGACAGAAAACAAAAAATCCCTTAGCCTCAAAAGTAATTGTCCATTATTTCAAAACAGAAATTTTTATCCCAAGATAAAAAAATTGTTCAGGTCACCATCCACATTTGGAAATGTAACATGAACAAAATCATGGTATCATTTAAAATTATTTTAAATTTTTTGATCAGAACAAATGGACATACTAGCAGAAATAACTGAGAAAAAGCTTAGGGAAATGCAATTTTTATCTTGACAACAYTGTTTCAATAATGGACAATTAAAGAAAACTCTTTACCAAAGAATATTAAAATAGCAGCAGAATAAGTAATTAAGGACTCCTGTGTTCCAGTGTGAAACAATGTATATGGTGAAGGAGGAGGACATGTATCTCAAAAAACMTCTCAAACTCATTTTATTAAATGGAAAAATGAGAAGGTATATAAGAATTTATTAAACTATTCATTTGTTTATTTTCTTATATTTCTTATCTTACTTACAAGTTCACTTAATTCAAATCTGCTGGGTTGTTTTTTCACATTTTTACTAGAAGCAGATCTGCACAAAGGATGATTCTGCCACCTATTTCAATTCAACACAAAGGTACTGATGTCAGCAGCAGTATTTCTGCTGTCAGCCACCAGTTGCACAATACTTGCAGGCACAGGAGAGATTAATTATATATTTACTGCTGGTTCTCTTTTCTAGAGTGTCTAAATAAACAAAGCCTCCTTAAAAAATTTCAGACAACACAAACATTTTCCAATTAGTAGGTAGCCTGAATCMCAGTAGAACATTCTCAAAAAGACACCCAGTTTTTGGGCTTATCTCACATGTTTACCACACCTCATTGAGATTCTTGTCTCTAGAAACCCCCAATTCAGAGCTGCAAGCCCACACTGCCAATGTGCTAAAGCTCTTTGGTAAGAATGCAGCGCACACCATTCCAACTTGCAAGAGAAGTAAAGACAGCTTCAAGTGATCACATATCTCTTCTTGGTGAGAAACYGTTCACTCTTTTGAGTGAAACTAACTTCACAGCAAAGGAATAACCTAAATTCATGCTGCTAAATTCAAATGATCAGTTTTAAAAGCRTTCAGCATCCAGCTTTCGTTGCTTTTTGTGAAATGTTAAGAGGGTTCAACACAAGTTTTCAAATAGTTTTTATTTTACCAGTAAACACCAATCTCTTGGAAAGTCTGTCCCCAAAATGGATGCTGAATACTTTTGAAAATCTGCTTCAGTAGAGTAGGTTATTATTACTCAAACAGCTCATATCGTTAAAAAAAACCAGCAAGAAAACAAATACAGATGTTCAGCTGGAGAGTGATGTTATTTATGGACACCAAAACTGTGTGAACAAAAAGGCAGCTACGAGGCTGAGCAGGCTGTTAGTTCTACTTGTTATATCAAGTCATGAAGAAGGTAAGAGGAGAAAAGCTACCCCAGAAGCCAGAGAGCCAGCAAGCCCCAGTGAATGGCCACTGCACACAAAAGAGAGATCTTACTGCAGAGACCTCGGTCTGGAGACCAGCCACTCTTTTTTTCAGGTCCTCCCCTTGAGCCTCTTTAGCACTTAGCTCTTCCTTCAGTTGCTCTACCTGTCACGACATTGTTATGCTTTAAAATATTTATTATTTGTCAGCTTCTACTCAGCCTGTTGCAGTCCGAGCAACTAAAAGTGACAAGAAAGTGAACAGAAAAATCAACACTGGTCACYCATTTGCTCTTCCATTCTTCATTAAGTCTTCTCAAAAGTTTAATGTCTGTGTAATTTCCTATAGGCTACCAGATAAGAATTTGATTATGCAACAAAAGATGYATAGTTATGGTTATGTTTACAGAGGCCAAGCATGTGGCACTTATCCCAACAGTTTTGAAACTGGAATTTGTAAGGAAACTGTGACACGAAAAAGGTCATAACTTCAGCCTAAGAGAAATCATGTTAATTGTCAAGATACAGCCACAAATTACTTATAAAACACTGAAAAAATAAATCTGTGCAATTACAGAACAAGGTAGGACAGCAAGAYGACAAGGTTGGAGATGGCTGTGAGTCATGAGCAAACAGACACCAAAAACGAGCAACTTTCTGCAGGAAAACAAATGAGCAGACAGAGGAGACAGAAGAGGTCTAGAAATCAAGTAGCTGAAGAGATCTGTAGATCCACAGAGGAAGAGGCCAAGGGGAAACTGAAGAGCTACTAACAAGGGAAGAAAGAAATAAGAAAATATGGAAGAAGTGATGCTTTAAGCTCCTCCCCATTCCTAATTTGAATGGGGTTCTGTCGTGGGTTTAAACCTGATTTTTCCCAAGTTCCAGCAACAGTTCCTAGAAACAACCCAGAGGGACAAAGGGCAAATGTAAAAACAGATGTATTTCAGTGAACTGGTGTGAACCAAGTGGAAGAAACACGTACTTAGCACATGTATCTASTTCAGGGCAAATAATGCTTCTTTCTCAAAGTTCATCCAGCATTCTTTTTTTTGTCCAATAATTAATTTCAAGTAGGACAAATGCAGTAGGTAACAATTGTTTAGGACCTAGCAGAGGAATTTCCAACCTCTGATCCAGATATTTGTATATTGTTTGCAGGGAGTGCACATGAGTTAAGAAAGGCAGGATTCTTCACAATACACTTAAGGGAGCCTGAATCTCCATTAAAGAATGCTAGGACTAAAAGATTGAGGAACAAAGAATGAATTGACTTTTGCCTATAGACAGGTCAATAGTCAGTGTCCATCTTTACACCTGATGATCAACATCTCTCACTCCTATATTTGTCCTGTATTCCAAACAACATAAATTAATGTCAGCACCACCTCTGTTGTACACTCTGCTCTCATGCTGACTCCATTGCTGGATGAAGAGTGTAAAGAAAAAGCCTTGACAGTGACAGTTCACTCTTTTTTCAGCCTTTATATAATATAAAGGCCAACTAGTTATACAACAGYTGCAAAAAGAAATACCTTTTTTTTCAACAGACTGCATTTGAAAAGACTTCAGACCAAATAAAACCTGAACAAATAATGGATCAGCAATGGTCTAAAGATAAACACAAAMATCTTTCAGAAAGAAAATCAGGTGTGACAATAAAAGAAGAACTTGGGCCAGTGATATTACTGAAACAGTATTACAGTACTTTCAAACTGGAATTTAAAACTTCCTTAAATATTTTTAAGTTATTTTAGTGGCTTCATGGCAGAATACAAATWAATTCTGTTGCTCAGCATTTTAATGGAAACCCAGACCATAGGTCATAACTGAAGCATGAAAATTTCTCTCCTCCGTTCCCTAAGCTCAGTTTGATGTAGGAGTGTCATTTGTTTTCTCAATACCTTATTTTTCATGAATTTGGAATGACTACGGTACACCTCCATTTGCTTCATTTCCTCCTCACGTTCCTCTGTGCTCAGAGCTCCRTTTGACTTCAGCATCTGAATCTCCTCTTCCAAATCCCGGAGRCCACGCTCCATGGAAGAAATTTTGGAATCCTAAAAATGATTAAAAGAGACAGGTAAAGACACACATCTAGAGGATCTGCTAACACACCACAGGAGTAAAACAAAAGGAGATACACGACCAATGATTTATCTGCCCTTGAAATTTACTTAGGAAGTTCTTTGAGAAATCAGTGTTCAACTCTTTACGTATGAGTGTTACGATAATAATTTCAGAATTTTTAAATTTTTTTTTTTACCTTTCAAGGAAAGCAAGATTTTAGTACTGAAAGAAAACATTTTTCAGGGCAGGGACACCATGCAGGATGAATAAACAAGGGGATTTGAAGAAAAGCTGCCTTTTCAAAGACAGTATAAACCAGAGAAAATTAATTCTAATTTAATGGACAGCAAAATGTGACTGCAAGAATGGCAAAAAAAAATTCTTATTTAATTTTCCCAAAATATTTAGTCTTTCCTGAAAGATAGGTATGACTTGAAAGTATACCAAAGGCTTTCATAAACAAAACCTTTTCCTTTGTCTGATAATCAAAGCAGAGGTGAACAATAAGCTGTTTTTTACAATATAGGTTTTCATTCATGAGGTGAGATTTTTCAAAAGGAYCATTATGAAGATCTGTCTGGATCTCCTGCCTAAGTTTGATGCYTAAGGTAAAGGTTGATAAAGTGGATTTTTGCAACAAAAAATTAGAGGTAGCAAGGTGAAGTGATATGTTGAAATTGACAACAGGGTTTAGTTTCAGTGCTCACATCATTTCCCAGAAATAGCAATGTGTTTCTCTTTTGATAGTAAATACACTTAATGTTACCAGATGGTTCAATTAGTTTTCATTACTATGGACCACAAAGATGACTAACAGAAGAGTGACAGCAAATGAAAAGCTTCAGAGTAGAAAGATCAGCTTTGAACATGGAAAACATTGATTTAGAATGGAAAAAGTTGCAGGGGAAAAAGAAAGGAAAATATAAGAAAAAGGAGAGATACAAAATGGAAAAGAACAGCTTGCAAAGACAGTTTCCAGTTTTTCAACTGTGTTTGTCCAAACCCTGTCTGATGTACTTTATGAGCCATACAATATGAAATATGACTGCATAAAGCTGTGTAAACSACACACTTGATTGTGGCTCCTGAGCTCTTGGCCACTTGCCATCAGTCCATTAAATACTTAAGCTAATGGCCTAATAATTCAATCACAAATTCATCYAGAGAAGTCAGGTTTATGATGACATACAGACATATTTCTAGCTATATGATCAATTCTTTAAGTGGGTGTTGAGTTTGCTTCTTTGTAGATACACAAAATGCAGAGCAGTATTTCAAATGTTGACAACATAAAAAGAAAGGAATCCGCATCATAAAAACCTACAAACCTTTCATACTGATCTATCATTCCTATTCTTGTAATATAACAGACTTTTGGTCAACTGAAAGATACCTCTATCTGCTGCTGCAGAAAGACAGAGGACAAGTTTGTACTGTGTCTGCCTCTTCAGTGATCAAAACCAACAAAATAACAATAGAGAATGAAATAGTATAAAATAAAAGTATTTATTTTAAATTAYAAGACTGACAAAAGCATATGGTATTTGGTAGAGTCACCTTTCATATGAAAACCCATTTTGCAGAGAATAAATTCTACTSCAGCCCATACACAATTATTTACCTTCATCTCAATAACAGTTTGTAGAGCCTTTGTCTTGGCCGTGTCAGGAGCRTTCTCAAATCGACGATGGATTTCCTGCACCAGCAGAAATGAAAGCAAGAGTTAGACTAATGGCAGTGTCCCAACACAAACATAATTACTAGAAGCTTCTCTTTCTAATACAGAGCACAACTCAGTGCTGCTTCCTGATGTTGTCAGTTCACACATTTTATCATATCACAGAAAGGATTGCCAAAAGCTCATTCAACAGAATCACAGCCTCAGTTAAAAAGGCACAGCAGAAACTGCACCTTTGACTACCCAGTTACTTAAAATAAACTTGAAATGACAGCTGGGTCTACTAAAAAGCTCCATCATCTGCCTGCTGAACAATCTAAACCCTCGATAGTTGCTCATGGAAGATATACACACAACGCATTTGACTACAAGCTTACTGGAAACAGCAAAACTGTGGRTTCTATCTGAACAAGTTATCAAGCMCAGCTATTGTTAACTCTCTTTTCCCAGCGTTTTTTACCCCAGAGTGGCAACATTTAACTATACAGATGAAACTCTCTCCACTTAGCCTTGAGCACAGCTGAAAAATCCAGGACTATACAGCACATTGCTCTAGAAGCTCAGAGGATGCAGACAGGAGGACACAAAGTCCATGTGATACTTCTGTTGATGTAAATTCACAACTGGAATGCTTCAGACTGTTTGATAAGGGATAAAAATATAGGAAACTGAAACAACTTGTTTTTTTCATGTAAGTAGGGGTTTCAAGCCAACAGATGTAAAAAGACGAGAAACAATATAGAAACTATGACAATTTTTCACTTTTTGTATAAAATAGTATTGTCCTTAGAGCACACTCTAATGTTAACTGCAGGAATGTGAATTCTGTTAAAATGTTAATCTTACATGCCACAAAAATACTTTGGTGCCCATAGAGCACAAACTGTAATGTCAGTTARCCTAACAACAAATTGTGTTATGTGCCCACACACAGAGTTTATCCATCTACTCTCCTCAAACACCTAAAACACAAATCCCAAAAGCCATCCACAAATTTGTATTTTCAACAGACACAGTGAAGGGTTAGTATTTCGTACGGCAGTCATCCATGCAACTTGTTCCACACAATTAATTTTTTGAATGAAAAAGGTAGAGTCGTACAGTGCTTTTCAAAAATACTGGAAACACTTCTTGTAAGATTGCTAAGTGCTCCTACTCAGCTTTCCARTGAGCAAGATGGAAATGTGTTGTGACATGACAAGGGCCACAAGAAAAATGTTGCATAAGTCTGGCATAAAACTATTTACATAATTTGATGCCCATGAATGGTAATAACAAGAAAATCCAACAGAAGGTTTGTCTGATTTTAAATATTATATTTATGCATTCATGTATTTTCTCAGAAGTTATTTTTACAAGTGTGTTCACAGTGTCCCACTGTAATAAAAAACAAATCATCCTGAAAAAGATAAACCTGAAAACTGCTCTAAATATATTTGTTTCTCCTAGAGTCAACAGAAAATTTGAGAGCTTCTGGAGAAATATTACTGGCACCATATAGACCAGAGTGGAGCAATACCATTATTAATCCACTTATCTGTACCTACATTCCCAAAATCGATTCACTCAAAGAAATTAAACTCTCATGAGCTTTTGTAAATTGAGATAAATGAAGGATAAGAATATCAAAAATTAATATGSCATAAATCTGTTTTGGACACTGTATTATTTTCATTTTAGTAGTTAGAAAATTTCCACTTGKGCAGAGACATGGTTTCTGACCTGAGAATATAAAATCAGCTACTACTATGGAAATGGAATAGRTGGAATGGATGGTAGGAGAACTGCATGTCTGTGAAGGAAAGCTGAAACAACAGTGTCTGCTTCCACCATTGCTCAGTGTTTTCCCAAACAGAAAATTCTTCCAAGCTTCTACTTGAGAAATGCCTGTAACTCCCCTGTCTGAAGTGATGCTCTGCATTTGGGCAAAGGAAATGTCCTACTTCTATCATCTTAAGTAATTCCACTGTGATTCGGATGACATAACCTGCTGAAAAATAACACCTCCCAACTCTTGACTGCACAGTAAGGACTTAATTTTGGCAACATGCCTGTGATTCCGAAGAGCCGGAAAAAAAAGCCACAGGCAGACCAAGGCTCTCTGGAACACAGATTGAAGAGTGGCTGCCGAAGGAAAGCAGTGCACAGATACCCTTTCTTAATTATGAAATCCAGGTTACATCCTTATCTTTGAGTGGCAGAATGGAAAAATACATAATACATTATTTCTCTGATGTATTCATATTCTGTTGTGGACACACACCCCAAAGATGAATAAAAATTAAGGTTTTCCCCCCTCTAAAATAGGATTTTGCAGGGGGGTCATACAAATATCAGGATCAGAAAAATACAATCCCAATTCTTCCTTGCAAGTTATCCATTCTCAKAAAGTAATACAGCATTTCTCCTTTATTTTCACACATTAAGAACTTTCACATGTAACTGATACTATTTCCTAACAGATTAATAAAATTCAGCATCTTTGCACCTTTGAGTGCAACAAACTATTACAACAATGGGTGGCTCTTATAAATCTCTTCTATGTTTTTTCTTCTTTTGTAAATTCAATGACTCCTTCATTCAAAAGTGATGGCAAAAAGGAAAAACAAAAATTATGGTGCAAATTGATACCAACTTCAAAGAATATTCAYAGGCAGCAAAATTCCAAAATAGGTTATTCTGTCAAAAAAAAAAAATCCATTAAGATTCAATAACTAGAATCTGAAGGCTAAAAATAGTCAAAAGTTCTATACAATGTGGGACCTTCTCCAGAGCTGGAGTTCATATTTCWTCCTAATTTTTAATTAAGAATATCTATCTTCCTTGTCAAGAAAATCTATAACAGAAAAAGGTATGAACTAAAGGTGTATAAGATTATTACATGTGCCAAGCAGTTCTGAAAGCAGCACAGTAGCACTATGAGAAACAATATTGTAATTTTTTGGTCAGCATAATTACACAGAACAGCTGACCAAACACACTGAGAACATCGGATATTTAAAGAATACTTGTGATAAAGTGATTTGAATGCACCATAAATATAACTAATTCTATAAATTCCTAACAAATTAAATTTTTTTCTTGACCAAGAAATACTAAATAATTCAAAATTAGAGGATATMGTTTAGAATTGAAGGAGTACCAATACCAAGCAGTATTATTACTACAAATTATGCACACATGCTTAATAATAAAGGTAGCAATTTAGTCCAAACATTTTCTTCCTTCATAACCTGGCCATATCATTCATTGTTATTCCCTTTGTTGTGCCTGTATCTGATTTTGCATGGAATTTAGAACAAATGTGAAGGTTCACTCTCAAGCAAACATGCTTTTACAGTGGGGTAGGCTATATGCTTAAAAATACAGCAACTTATCTCTCAGTAGCCACAAGGGAAGCAGTTTCCAAAGGAGATGCCTTCCATCACCTGCCAAACTTGCACACTCCACATAGAGAACAACAAAAATGTGCTATTTCATACATTATTTTTTWAAAAATCAAAACCCATTCTTTGTAATTAAAAGCACAGTCATAATTCTGATTTATTTTTCTCTTAACTGTACTCTCCATTTGTATAATCAATTATTATGCTCTGTGCTGGATCTTTGTATCATTCAGTGGACTGGACAGTTCGGACTAAAAAGCATTTGGTTTTATTCTCCAACMTTATCCTCCAGGCCTTACTAAATGAATGTTATATCTTTTGTACTTAGAAGTTTAGTTTCTCAGATGGCTTTTCTGCCCATCCCGATTTTAGMAACCTCGTTCCAATTAATTACAAGGAAATGCAAATGTTACAACCAAAGGAAAATTTTAGGAACATYCATAAGTTCAGTATCAATGATCATTGCTAATTTAAAAAAAATATTTAGTAGATATATAAGACAAAATAGATCTTTAGTTGTACAGAAGGACAAATCATACTGTAGTGGAAGGATGACAGGCAACAGGCAGAAGTTGTGGAACTGAAAATTTAGGCCTGTTAATTTCAATTTCATGAAAAAGATTTTACCAGGAGAACAACCAAGTGCTGGAGCAGGTGCCCARAGMGGCTGTGGAATCCCCGCCGCTTGGAATTGCTGGTTTGAGCAGAAGGTTGCATGGAATAACCTGTGGGAGAGCCCTTTAATCTGCATGACTCATTTATATAAATATCTTTACTACCTGGTGCCAGAAGGTGACTGGATACTAYCACAATTGTTTAGTTTCAGGATTTTTAATGAATTTTTTTCAAAAAGCACTCAATAACAGTAATTTTAACTTCTATTTCAGCAAGACATAAAAATGAACTGAAAAAAAGAATATATGAGAGCCCTGTAGAATTTATTTCATTCCTCTAAGAGTTTCGCTACTAAAATGATATTGTTAAACAAGTCTGGAAGCAGTAATCATGCCAGTTCCTTTGGAAATTATTTYTGTATTTTTCCACTTGTCACTTCCTGAATTTGCAAACCCAATCAACATAATTCCCTGAAAAAAAAAAAAGTGACTGTATTCACAAAGAGTGTAACTTTGGAAGCTGTGCTGSCAATTGCACACACATTGATAATGGAGGGTGCCAGTTGCTTTGAAGCTCAGTCACCCCTGGCTAAAGAAACTCATCTCTCTGTTTTGCTATTCTATTAATCCACTGAGACGATTATTTCTAAATCCAATTWAAACCTCAGATATTAGGACCTTTGAGTTTGTTAACAAAAGCATCACCTAAAGTGAAAATTAAGGCACGGCTTCCTGCTCATCTCAGTATTTCAATCAGCAGGAAACAAAAGCAAAATCCCTCAAAACTTCAGCATTAGAGKAAAAGCAAGGTAAAATGAGAAAGTGATTTAAACCATGCAATTAGTWGTAAGTAGCAAGTCATTGTGTTGAAATCTGCCTACAGCGGTGTGAATTCAAAAGCTAAAGGAAAGTCAGTYAAAAACTAAAATCTTAATCAYGTAGAAYTYCATTTACRTATGTGCCATTATTAWTTTTTTCTCTCTCTGCTCTTATTTMWGGTGCAAAAGCATTCAWTTTT